TCACTGTCTCTCGGGTCACTTGTTCTGGGAGAAGCAGCTGCCCTGTCAGGAAAACTCAGGACACCCATGGAGAGGCCCAGATGGTGAGGAGCTGGAGTCTCCAGTCTGCCGGCATCCGTGTGGGTGAACTTGGAAGGAAATGCTTCCTGAGGGGCCCTCCCTGGTGGCGCAACAGATTGGAGCACAGCACCAGAAAGCTGGCTGCAGCCGCTTCAGCACCGAGTTTGATCCCCGGCCAGGTTGCTGACCCACAGGGCATAGCAGACCTCTCCTGTCTCTCCACTGCTCCCCTCAGCAGTGTACTTCGTCAATCTGCCTGTTCTGCTCCCCACTCTGTCTCTGGTGAATCCTCTCACTGCACCTCTGGCCTCTACCCCAGTTCTGTATGCACAAATAAATAAATCTTTTTTTAAAAATATTACCGCTTCCTTAGGCCAACCTCTCTTCAGCCAATACCTCGACCTCAGTCTCAAGAGACTGGGCCAAACAATCTAGTTTGGCTATTTCCAGAGATAATAAATATTTATCTTTCAAGCTGCCAAGTTTTAGAGTAATGTTTCCCATAACAACAGATAAAGAAGATGTTTACCAATTAAATAAGTATAAATCTGACCAGATAACAATAATGTCATGGGGCTTTCTTCTTAGGGCAGACAAAACAAACCTCATCTAGATTTGAGATTTCAACAAAAAGGGAACAGGAATACAGTCTTAGCTCTGAACTTATCTCACCATTGCAAGTAGGGAAGCTTCAGGAGCCTCCCTGGGGTCTCCTGAGCCCTGGGCCCTGCTAAATCTTGAGCATCCTTGATGGAGGAAGCGCACATGTGAAAGACGGCTAAGGAACCTGTTCAACGCACAAAGCCGGGCTAACTAGATGTAGCAAGGGAGAGAGAGCGCTGTCCCGGCAGAGTCTTAGTGTCACCTCAGACGGGAGGGAGGGGTGAGTGCTTAAGAGGACTTGGGGGACAGGTGTATGACAGGCAGCCCTGGTTAGATCTGTGAAGCAGGCTGGCTTTAGAACTGAGGTTATGGAATCACACTGCTCCTGTCACTGTACTCTTCTCCGGGAACATATAGGTCAGTGAGCTTGTTGAAACAGTTCAAGCTTAAATAATTTGTTGTTCCGTGTGTTTTAGTGGCCTTCATCTGCTGAGTAACAGCAGTTTTTCAAGGGGCGGTCCATTTTATTTCCTAAGAGGACCAAGCACTGCCTAACAAAGAGACCTGCTAGGAATGTATTGCAAGAGGTGGCCAAATATTTGTGGAGATGTCCGCCTTCACCCACGCTGGAGTAGCAAGCGCTGGGTGCAGTGAGTGCCTCCCTAATGAGGAAACGAGAGGAAACAGGAAGTGACTGCATCTGATATGGAACACCACACAGCGCACCTGGGTGTATGAAGGTCCAGGAAATCTGGGAACATATGTGGTTATGCCTCCGTGGGAGACCAATTCATCACAAGAGCCAGACTCACATTATCTGAAGTCTCAGGCTTCCCAGGTCTCAGACCCCTCCACTCCTGGCCCTGGGAAGAATTCCTGCAGCCTGCTGTTGCTGTTCCCTATTCTGCCACAGGATGGCACCAGAGAGCCAGCAGCCACAGCTGCAGAGAGGGGCTGGTCCCAGGGGTGCTTGTGGGGGCGAGGGTGCCCACAGGCTGCTGGCCTTGGGCTCCCAGGCACAGCTCTCAATCTCAGCACCACTTCATGACTTCTTTCTGTCCTGCAAAAGTCTTCATAAGTCCAGGGGCTCAAACCCTGTGCCTCTGGGACCAGGCCAGGTGCAAAGCATTTCCACATGCCAGGCCGCAGGCTCCACTCGGCCCCGCCCACGGTGGCCACCTGTCAACACAGACCTGGGGGGCAGGTGCCTCCAAATGGTGAAGAAAAACAGGGAGTTCCTGTTTCTATGTGAATCTCTTTCAAACAAAGGAAGCAAACTCCTTTTTCAATCAGCTTAACTGAAGTAGCCACCACTACGGCCATTAAAATGGACAATTTCATGACCCTAACAAAGGTCCCAGCGCCCACTTGAAGCCCTCCCCTGAACACTGACCCTTGGTGGCAACTGGCCTGTCTCCATCGCTCTGACCTTGCAAGTGGCATCTTACGGTCTGTCAACTTTGGTGGCTCGTTCTGTCCATTCAACGTGCCGCAGCTGCAGGACCCACTGTCCCAGGGTAGGGTGCTGGGCCATGGGAGTAATGACACCCCAGTTGTCCCCAACTGACCAGTCTGAGCCATTTCTGTGCCTTTGAGGTGCCTCGTCATTCCTTGCTCACTTTCCTGCTTTCCGGCCAGCAGAATATTCTAGACCCACATGTCTGTGCGTGGGTGTGCTTATGCAGGTAAGTCCACATACGTGACCACCTAAAGGGGACTAATCAGTGGCCTGGTACGTCCACAATGCTGCTCAACCACCACGCCAATGGCGTTCCAAATTTACCCCACAGATAAGAGAAACCTGCACCACTGATAGTAACAGCCGCCCAGCGCCGGCCTGGCTCCTCCCTTCAGGGGTTTGGCAGAGCACCTCAGACTGTTCCCCACGGGGCAGTGGAGGGGGGGCAGTTCTCATTGCAGCTGGCCACTGGGGGTCTCGCCTTCTCCCAGCCCACCGCGGCAATGATGCACAGGCACCTGGCTCCCTGGCACACACTGCACACCTGAGCCCTCCCAGAACCCCTTGGCCTATGCCTTGCCGGTTGGCATCCAGCTGCAGGCAACCCCAGCCCACCTGCAGCCTGACAGGCCTCTGTGGTTTAACGCTTCACCAGGAGTGTTCTGAGCACTTAGCATATGGAACCACGGCGGGTGCCGGGCAGCCATGCGGGGACACAGGCACAGAGAGGCTGTCCACTTGCTCGAGGTCACACAGGGATGGACGTCGAAGCCCTCGCCTGCTCGGCTACACCTCAGCTTGTAACTTCCACAGCGGGGTCTCAGGGCAAGGGCAGCCAGAGAAGAGATTTTCTGCAGCCATAGTGCTTTTTAAAAGCTATTTCTGGGTTTTCTCCTACGTTTCTAGAGCCTGAATCTCAATCCCTGCCACAGACCGAGGCAAGCGATGCCACTGCCTCGGGTGCAGGGCGGGAATACCTGCCAGCCCCAGCCCACACGGTGCCACCTCTAAGCCACTCCCTGGGCCGGAGGAGCTGCAAGCTGGATTCTGGGCAGCGTGAGTCACAGTTTGTGACCTCAGGGGCTTCTGATGTCGCAATGAGTGTGTGGGCCGAGCGTGACAGAGCCCTGGGCTCAGCCCTCCCACGTGGTATGGCAGCCAGGATCATGGCTGGTTTCCACCCCTCTGGCGTCACTTAGGCCAGTCCGTGAGTAGCCGCGGTCGGGAAGCCTTGCGCTCTCCTTTCTTGCTGGAGGCTCTGGGCCCCCAGCTTGTGCGTCTTCACTTTGCGCTGCTCCCAGGAGTGCCCCCAACCAGGACCTGTCTTGGGGGGGTGGCATCTTCCTGGGTAGGGGCAGTGCCAGGGGGCTCTGCCACCCGCATCACTGCCAGGATTCGGGAGCACCGTCCCGAGTGAATTTGGGCGGCAGCAGTAGCGTGGCACTGGCATGAGGGCCATGACGTCACAGGGCTGCCTGGGTCCTGCTCAGGTCTTCCCGCTCCCAGAGGACTCTGCCTTCTCGGGCAGTCGCTGACACAGCCGCCGTGTAGAGGCGACAGCAGGCTTTTGTGTGGGAACACTGACAGCATCTGCTGTAATCCCAGCCTGAAATGCTAGCAGGTGGGGCCTGCTTGCTCCTCAGGGCTTCCCACACCAGGAGCCAGCCTCTAGCTCGAGCTACCCACCAGTGCGGGAGTTCAAATATAGCAGGTGGGGTACCGGCAGGGCTTACCACGGTCACAGTGAGCTTTACGGGCCTGTGTTGGTAGGACACTGGCTGTTTTTACCACTGTAGATACATTAGCCGAGTCGTTGGTAAGCATGAGTTGGGAGATTTGAGGGCAAGTGAGATATCGGTGGTCAGACCTTAACCCTGACTTGACTTTCCCTGATGCTTTACAAAACAATCACTCACATCTCTAGCAGGCATGTGCAATGGTACAGACAGCCACTCTGGAAAACTGTTTAGCAATTATTTTTAAATTTAAAAACGTCTTTCCCATGTGGCCTAAGAATTGCACTTTTAGGCATTGTAACCCAGTGAAATGAAGATTTATTTGCAAGCAGAACCTTGCACGTGAATATTCATAGTGGTTTTAGTGGTATCAACCCTCAACTAGGAATGGCCCGAATGTCCTTCAATAGGTGACGGTTAAAAAAACTATGGTATATCCATGTCAAGGAGGGGAATACTACTCAGTGCTGAAAGGGAACCAACTTTTGAGACCATTGGGATGATTCTCAAGGAAATTATGCTGAGAAAGAAGTCAGCCTCAAAAGGATACCTACTACGTGACTATTTACATAACATTCATGAAGCCACACCATAGAGAAGGGGACAAATTAGTGGTTGCTGGGGTTGGGGATGGAGTGGAGGGTGGATGTGACCTTGGAGGAGCATGTGAGGGAGCCTGGTTGGATAATGAAGTTGAGGATCTCAACTGTGGTGGCTACATGAAGCTGCGCCAAGGAACAAACACACACATTCACACACAAATACTCTCATCAAGTAGTAGGGGGTAGAGCTCAGAGATAGAGCATTTGACTGAAAATACACACACAGTCATGACACACATATGCACATGTACATGCACATATATGAGCTCACATGCACATATATGATGATCTCACACGCATGCAAACATAGTGTCATACACACACTCGCACATGAGAGTGGAAGAAACTGGTGCCATGTGGTGAGGCCAGGGCACTGGGGGACAGGCCTCACTCAGGACCATGTCCATGTCTTATAAGGATGCGGGGTCCCCATGATACCACTGACCTCACCCAGGTCCAGACGAGCTTTTCCCATGACCTCCTTCCATTTCTTTTCTAGCCATGACCAAAAGGTGCGCCACAGCTTAATCCCCTCCCCCGATGGATGCAAGGGCCCCCAAGAAGTGCCACCAGTATAAGAAGAATAGGACCAAGGTCCAGGAGAAATTTGCCAGTAAGATCTCATACAGGTATAGGCCCCAACCCCGAGAGCATGCTCTTGGCCACAGAGGCTGGAGCTGGGAGGGCCTCTGGTACAGGGAGTTCCCTGAGCAGCTCTGAACTCGGTCACAGTCTGGGGACCACCTTCTTCACCCCTATTCCAGTCTGAGCTGAGGGCCACTGGATAAATGCCCAGGACCCTCTGCTTTCACAGAGCCTGGGCTGGTTGTGTCTGCACCCCCAGGGTCCAGCAGCTCAGGGCCTCAGCCAGCAGCACCAGCTGTGAAATGGCCCACTAGGCAGGTGGAAGCTTAGGGTCTTGCTCCCGCTTGACTAACAGGGTCCTGGATAAAATACAACAAACTTTGAGGGTTCTGAATGGCCCTACTTCTCGAAACTCACCTCAGAAACTGTTGAGGGGGGCCAGTCTGTAGAAGGCTGAGAACACAGGTGCTCAGGGAAGACAGAGCACGTGCTCCAGGGAAGGCCAAGGTGCCTGTCCATTGAGAGAGCCAGCTTAGAGGGACACAGGGACACGTGTGACAAAAGCCCCCCACCCAGAACAATCTGGAGCAGAATGTGGTCCTCGGGTTAAACAAGGGCGACTAAAACTTCGGGGTCTGGGGGCCCGTTTTGGGTTACTGGGCTGTAGTCGTTAAACAGTGACTTCCGGGGCAAATGGCAGGCCTGTAGCCCAGCTCTGCCTCCTCCTGCTGTGTGATGTTGGGCAAGTCACTTAACCTCTCTGTGCCTCTTTTCTCATTTATAAAGTTTGGGCAACAATGGCTACTACATAGCTAGGATGTGCGTTGCCATAGAGGTTAATGTTTGTAAAGCCTTTAGAGCAGAGCATGGCAAATAAGAAAGAGGTTCTGGGTGAGCGAGAACCCCTTCCTTGGCTCAGTGGTCACCTAAAGAGGCCAAGCACCTGTCATAGGTTGTCTTGGCTGACGGAGAGGACCACGGAGTTCCTGAAGCCCTGGGAGATCACAACATTAAACAGCTCTCTGCGGGAACAGCTGCCCTTGCAGAAGAGGTTGGTGCCGACACGGTCCATTCCCGTCCCAGGGTAAGTCACAGGCCCCGGATGCTGCTGGTCACCCTGCCGCTGACCGCTCCACACAGGCTGCCTGGCCCTTTACTCTTCTGGGTGGCTAAGGCAGGTGGCCAGTAAAGTGCCAACTCCTACCTGGGGGAAACAGAGAGCGTGCGAGAAGCAGGAGGGCATGCTGAGACCTGTGTCCGTTCAGTTGTCAGAGAAGACTCCCGGGGTGGGGTGGGGAGATCGGAAGCGGGGCCTTGCCAGCACGGGCTGAGGTGGGGGTGGTCTCGTGGGGTGGTGGCTGCACAGAGGCGCGGCATGGAGAGTGCCCTTATTGGGGGCGCTCAGATGATGCCAGTCTCATGGCCAGGTGGGCCTGGGGCCCAGCCCACAGGAGGCACCTCGGGCTTGCTGGCTTCTGGGCTGGGCAGCTAGATGGGTGGTTGGGGGTGGGTAAAGGCTGGGAGTAGGGCCCTGGGGGTGTCTGGGCTGAGCAGAGACTTGCTTAAGGTGCTAGCCAACCTCTCTGGACAAGCAGAGGTTCAGGGGCTCATGCAGACTGTATGTGTGGCCTCTCTAGGCTAGGGGCCCCAGGCTTTTCGTCAGTGTCCAGACGCTATGGGCCACGGCCGCCATCTTCATCCCCAGCGGGAAAGCTCTGGGAACTCCAGCTCCTGTACCTCCGCTTCCCGAGGCCGGAAGCCAGCACTAGCCACCCCTCCACAGGCCTCTTCTGGAGCCCAGGTCTGCACCACCTTGTCCTGGGCACCCCAGGCAGCAGAGTGCCCTCTTCCTTAAGCCAGCAGGTGGTAATGCATAGATCAGTAGCAAGGGCAGCTCCCAACCGCCCAGAAGCCAAGACAAGTGAATAAACTTTGCAAGTTCAAATCCCGCTTCCAAGAGACTGGCCCCTTGCCTTCCAGGTTCTCCCATGTTAAGTGGGGTGGTCATGTTTAATCTTGCCATGCCGTGTGGGCATTATAAATGCCTTCCCAAGAAGGCACCCCAAAGATGGACTCAAACATGAAAGAGAAGATTTCTGCACAATGATAGTCATTCCAGTTCTATAGAAAATGGCATGAGATTGGAGACCATCTCCAGAGCCACTAGTGCTGGTGGGAATGAGGGGGGGCTGGTAAACTGCAGCACACTCGCACCCTGGAATCCTGGGCGGGCACCCTAATGACAAAGCAGCAATTTACAAGTGTGGCCTCCCTTCCACCACAGAGCTGAGCATGAGTCTGTGATCCTCAGGCCTCCCCAGCACCTAGCAGGGCTGGGGTGTGGAGGGAGGGTCAGCCTGCCACGTGGAACCACAGACACAGCCCTGGCAGGAGCGGGTGCCTTCTTCCCACCTCTGGCTGGTGCTGAGTTTCAGCAAACAGGCTTCACGGGAGGTGGTGTGAGCGCCCAGTGAGCCTGGGGCAAAGGAGTGGGTCCTGGAGCAGGTGTGTCAGGACCAGAGACGATGTGTGTGGACACAGGGTGCGCAGTACCCCTGAGGGGTGTGGGACAGGACACCTGTGAAGCAGAGAGGCTCCTGGCGTGTTCAAGGCCCTCTCCCCCAGCCCTCCCCTTCATGATAACTGTCCAGGGGCTGTCCCTCTCATGGGGTGTCCCTCTTGCGGGGCTCAGTGGCCACAGCGGCCCTTTCCAGATTCAACAAGTGCCGATAAAGCACTGGGGGGACTCGGAGAGGGGTGTCCTGAAGGGCTCAGGCTCCTGAGGAGGAGGGACCTTCGGGATGGCCTGGGGGGAAGTGGGATGGCCAGCCTGGGCTCCACCAGTCAGCACAGCCCTGTGACGGCGCTCCTGGGCCCTCACCACAGGGTGCCAAGCAGGGGGCACCATAGCTGAGTGCTGGCCTCACGCCCACCGAGCTGCCCTTCCTAAGCTGTGTTCTGATTTCTACTTTTCAAAACCTAAGCATCCAGTTCACCCCAAAGTTCTGACATTTTTATTGCCCAAGGAAACTGAGAAAAAGACACCATATAGTCAACCAATCAGCCAGGGGACATTCAGTTCCTACCAAGGAATTCCCATGGCTGGCTATGTCCCAGGGCAGGGACAGTGGGCCGTGACCACCAAGTAGCCCAACACACAGACACACGGGCAGGAGGCAGCTCAAGGATGAGGCTTTGCTGCGCTGCTGTGGCCTTTAATCCTAGGCCAGAATTTCTCCAAGTTGTCACTGGTTCCCCTCCAGGCAGACTCTGGAACCCCTCACCCCCCCACACACAGAGCACCCCCTCCCACAAGGGCCCTCACACCTGTAGCTGCTGAGAGGCAGCCCAGACTCACCACCCCTCTTATCTGATTGACAGAATCACCTGATATTCCTGAGCCATTTGACAGTAGGGGAAACGGAGGCGCAGAGACTCAGTGCAGAGATCAGACTGCACCATGCAAATGGCAAAATGAAACAAAAATATCCCCAAATATCAAAAGGTAGAAAAACATTTATTTAAAAAACAAATGGGCTCCTGTGCCCAGTGAGGTCCTGTAAAACCTGCCACCTGGTCATTGTGGGCACAGAAACCAAGCCACTGGTCAGACTGAGATCAAGGAGTTGGGGGAGAGGCTGCCAGGGAGAGGAGCCTCCTCTGTGCTGGGCAGCCAGGATGGCGGCTCAGGCTGGCTCTGCCCCACTCGCCCAGAGGGGTGGTCACAGTAAGGGAAGCCCTTTCTCCTGACCAGGGCTGTCCTTCCCCGGGTGGATGAGCAGGGGAAAGCCCTGGGCTGGGCCACAGGCCACAGGCCACGCCACGTCACACAGCGCTCTGCTCTGTGCACCACGGACAGGTTCAGGGGCACGGTAGACATAAAATGCTCTCACAACCCGAACGATGTCCAGTCCTCATCCACAGAGGGGCCCAGGAAGTGCCTGAACTGGCGTGACTGGAGGAAGCTGCAGTGACACGCAGGCCAGGCGTCAACACTGAGCCACACAGCCACACAGCCACCCGAGGAGGGCGCACCAACTTCAGCGGGTTTGATGTCACCTGCTGGGCAGCCATCCTGGGAAGGTGGATGTAAGGGCGCTGAATGGAGACAGGACCAGAATAAGCGCACCTTCTCGGGCCCCACCCCGGAGCCAGGGGCCTCCACCACCAGGGGGTCCCGCAGAGGGCACCTCTGGGCCTAGTGCAGCCGCAGGTAGGTGGGGATGGAGTAGTTGAAGAGCAGGAAGTCCATCCTGTAGAGCTCGTACAGGCGCCTTTGGTAGAAGGCGCTGATGTCCTGGAAGAGGCTCGAGGCCTGGTCGCGGGCGTTGGGCGCCCGGGCCCGCGGCGGAGCCGGGAAGCGCAGCCCAGAGGCCCCCACCAGGCCCAGCACGAAGGCCGCGTCCTCGGCCAGCGTCTCGAACTTGCCCACGACGTCGTAGCGAAGGCGGCACGGGTGGCAGAGCGCGTGGGCACGCTCCCAGTGCTCGTTGAAAGGCTCGTCGCGGCGCGTGCGCGGGTCCAGCAGGTAGGCCAGGAACTCGGCGAAGCGCACGTCGTGCCCGCGGGCCAGCGCGTCGGGGTGTGCGCCCGGCCGCAGGCGCCGCACGATGCGCGTGCCGTAGCGCCGCTGGAACGCCGCGCTGTAGGGCCGCGCGAACTTGTTGCGGTAGGCGGACGCCAGGCGCTCGAAGGGGTCGCGCACGAAGAGGAAGGCCAGGTAGGCGCGCAGACGCCGGTTGATCTCCGCGGGGCTGAAGTCGGCCAGCGAGGGCAGACGTCCCGGCGCGTGCGCTTCGTGCGCGGGGATGGCGAGGGGGTCGCGGGGGCCGCCGCCGCTCAGCGCCAGCAGCACGCGCTTCCAGTTGGTACAGGCCACCTTGGGCACGTAACAGTACAGCAGGCCGTGCGCGTCGTCAACCAGCACGTGCCGCAGGTCTTCGGGCTGCAGCAGGCGCTGCCGGCGCGTGTGGCGGGCACACGCCTGGCGCAGCTGGTAGCGTCGCTGCCGGTGCAGCCCAGCCAGGGCGGAGTGCGGGTCCTGCGGGCGACAGGGCCTGGTCAGGGCGGAGGCCCGGGAAGGGAAGGCCAGGAGGCTGGTGGGGACCGGCCCTCTGAGGCCACCCACCATTGTGATTTGGGGGGGTCCAGGAATCTGACCTGGACCTAGATTGGGGGGAGGAGGATTATCAGGCTTGCTGAGCCCCATGGGCAGGAGGAGGTGACTGGTCACTGAGGGCCTGATGGCACGTAAGACAGTGTCAGGGTAAGTGCATGAAGAAGTATGACATCAAAGTGCCAAACTGAGTATCTATCCGTCTGCTCACTGTTTACTGGTGTGCGAGGCAGCAGCCTTCAATGCATTTAAATTGAGTTGGAAAATGTAGTCACAAAATTAGCTACATTTGGATGAATTGACCGTGTGTCTCTGGGTCTTGATATTTTGCTGCCTTCCCGCCCCACCCCACTCCCAACAGATTCTAATCTGAGCGTCCTCTCTGAGTTTGACCTCCTCTGTGAAAGTCACAGCCAAGGCTGACCTTTACAACTCTTTGAGTAGGGCTGGTTGGGAGGGTGGGAGGCAGCCCCCCGCCCTTTTCTGAAGTCCTTTCTGTCCTAAACAGGGTCGCCACCTCCCAGGACCCCGCCTTTCTGTTTCGTGGTTACTGGTCTAAGAGTCCTTAGGCAAAAGCATCCAAAGCCTTTAGAATATAATAAAACGACAATGACAATTACCAGGGAGGATGAAAGAAAGTGGGACCTTCCCTCATTGCGGCAGGGGGAGCAGTTTCCCAGCTCACCCCAAACAGCAAACGTCTGATCCAGCTGTTCTACTCCTGGGCATACACCCAGGAAAACTAAAAGTACATGTCACACCAAATCTCACGTACAAGTGTTCACAGCAACATGATTTATAATAGTGGGTTGAAACGACCCACATGTCCATCATCTGATGAATGGGCAAATACTCTGGGGTATATCCGTACCATGAAATATTATTTAATCATAAAAGGAGTGAATCTTGATAATCCTGAAATATGGTTAAACCTTGAAAACTTTGGCTGAGTGAAATAAGCTAGACCCATGAGGCCACATGTTGTGTGAATCTGTTCCTGTGAAGTGTTCAGACCAGCGCTGTGGAGACAGAAAGTAGACGGTGGCTGTCAGGAGGTGGGACATGGGAGAGACAGCTGATGGGAACTGGGTGTCATTTTGGAGCTGTGACAGTGTTCTGAAATCAGATGGTGGTTGTGCAACCTTGCAAACATGCTAAGAACCGCTGAACTTTACACTCTAAGAGCGTGCACCTTGTGGATGTTGAGTATAACTCAGTTAAGAAAAGCCTTCCAGGGGGCCTATTTGGGAGCAACGTCCGAAGTGGCAGGACGCTTACCAACTGCCTGCAGGAAGCGGCCTGATCCTGGGGGGGTGGGGGTGGAAGGGCAGGCTGCTGTTTTAGTCTCAGCACATCTGCATATGTTTGAATTTTTCAAAATGAAAGTTAAAGCCGAGAGGACAGGCGTACCCGTAGGTGGGGCTCTGAGAAAATACCAGAAGCTCATGACAGAACATGCACCACACGCCTCGAACATGCCTGGGAGGACACAGAGAGTGGTCATCCCGGGGAACCAGGGCAGGAAGGGCCCCTTCCCTAACTGTGCTTTGATGGCATGCGGAACGCCCTTTCACGTGCTTCTGTGGCTTTTTCAAAACCTCACCAGTGGGGGAGCTGCCAGGTTAGCCATGCTGTGGGGAGCCTGAGCACACGTAGAGAAGCCCATCCTGCCCTCCGGGGCGCTGACTCACAAGAGCAGCCCCAGAAGTCTGGCTCCACGCAGATGCCAGGAGGAGGCTCCTAAAGGAAGACAAATGGCCTCGCCCACCCCCTCCCTTCCTGCCTGATGCGGTCCTGTGAAATGTCCGGAGCCCTGGCAGTCATCTTGCAGGCGTGAGGCAACAAGCATTTTTGTTTGTGCTGTGAAAAGGGGCTGCTGGGCTCTGAGCATCCTGTGAAGAAAGTGCTCACTTCTCCTGACATAAATAGCCTCCGTCCACCTCTCTGTTGCTTGCGAGCCCCTGAATAACAACTCTGTCCATGCTAGCTCCATTTTCCAGATGAGAACACTGAACCTCAGAAGAAATGACTTGCCTGCAGTTCTGAAGTCAGGGCCTGGGGCTCCAGCTCGGGTCCCAGTCAGAAGCCGGGGCTGTGCCCGCTGGTCCCTGTGAATGCTGTGACCTTCTCAGGGCGCTGGGTTTCCCTAGGCCTGAGTTTCCTCATCTATAAAGGCTGACAACAACCCCACCTCATCCGGCTTTGGTGGGCACTAAATGAATTCATAGAACTAAATTGCCTGGTCCACAGTCAGCACCTGTAGCCAGATCGCTTTATTACTCTTAGTGCTCTAACTGTAAGGTGTAAAACTTGCAGGGCGCTGATGCCCAGGGGTCACTGGAGGGCTGACTGGACCCCATGTGCCACTCAGAAGCCTATGGAGCCAGGCTGAGAGCCTGGCCTGCTCTCAGCTTGAGCACAGCCCAGGACCAGCTGGTCCCCCTCACTGAACCAGGGCGGCCTGGCCCATGTGCCTGAGGATAGCGCGAGAGCTGGGCTCCCTGCATGTGTCTCAACTGAAATATGGGGGTTCACTTAGTTACTGTACCCACTCTAGACTGTCAGCCCTGAGAGTAGACACAGGGTCTGTTCTGTCCCCTCTCATGTCCACAGCATGGAACAGTGCTGGGTACAGAGGCTGCTCCGTGTCGTGTTGGGCAGGCAGTGAATGGCCAGGTGGGTGGGTGGGGCAGATGGCTCCGCCTGCCTCCAGGATGCTCTTGGCCTGGCCCCGGGCACTTTCCTCTCTGGGCAGAGCCTGGGTTTGCCTCTCCACACCCCACAGCAGTTGCCGCCCACCAGCAGGCTTGACGGGGGTCTCAGATTCCATGCCTGCGGGCACAGGAAGGCATCCCTGGGCCGAAGTCTGTCCACCTACCTGGTCCAGGTCATACAGTGTCTGCAGGGGACTCTTCCTCTCCCCGCTGAGCCAGCCGGACACCAGAGCCCTGTTTCCAGATGCTGGGGGTGGGGGGGCACAGAAAGAGACACGTCACCGCTGTCTCCAGTGAGGCTGTGGCTCGGGGCCCTGACTCACTGAGGGCACGTGGGCTCTACCCCTGGGCTTAGTTCCCCCGTGTCATGCCTGCCTCTGTGGAGGTTTGGTGGAAAGTGGGGGGCAGTTCCAAGGCCCCAAACCTAGCAGGGCAGGATGCCTGTCTATGTCCTGGCCTCTGGATTGGAAGGTGCTAAGCAGGGGGTGGAACCCAGCCCCGCAGCCCTGTGGGAAAGGCCTGACCACCCAAGCTCACCACTCAGGTGGCCTTCACCTTCCGTGGCTCGCCAGCTGTCCCTCTGTTCACCTCCCCGAATCTCAGTGTCGGCAGCCAGAAAGGGCTGGGCAGAGTGGAGGATTGCAGGGTACTTCAAAATCATCTACAGATTCAGAGTCGTCATTAACAAAATCCTAGCTGCCTTTTTTTTTCCCTTTGCAAATCTGGCAGCTGATCCTTAAATTAATGTGGAAAATCAAGCAATTTAGATTAAGAATATCTAAAACCATCTTCATTTCACAACTTACAACAAAGCGATAGTGATTAAGACTGTGTGGAGCTAGCGAAGGGGAGACACTCATGGAGAGATGAAATAGGATTATTCAGAGTTCAAAAATGAACTTTTACATTTATGTTGATTTTTAATTAGGGTGCCAAGGGAAAGAAGAGTCTTTGAGGGAAGTTGTGTTTTTTCTACAACTCGGAGACACAGCTGGGTCCTTGGAAACACAACTGGGGGTGAGGAAGGACTGCTGTCCTGGGGGGGGGGAGCCCCAGGGGCAGAGAAGCCCACCTAGGCCTGTTACCCCAGGGTATGGAGACACAGAGCCACGCAGCCTTCCAGAAACACCAACCCCGTGGAAGAGCTCTTATTTCCTGTCCAAACCACAGCCTGCAGGAAAATGGGTCCCTTACCAGACTCCAGGGGCCTGTGGGTGGAACGCCAGAGGGAGCAGACAAGAGAGAGCCCCAAAATAGCTGTGGTCAATGATTACAGTGCTGGGCCGCCCCTGCCCAGCCCCACCCCTGCCCACCACACAGATCAGAGGAACTTGGGTCCAGGATGCTGTGCAGGCCATGGAGGGGGCAGTGGGTCTGAGATGATCAGAAGGGGGATGTCTTGAAGACCCCAGGATCCAGCCCCCTGCTCTGGACAGCTGGAGGTGATCTGAGAGTAAAGGTGGGCCCCACACAGGGCCACCTTGAGGCAGCCCCGATGTCCATTTCCAATGTCCTAAGCCCCCCTGGCCTGCATCCTTAGCCCCCCTCTAGACCCAGGTCCTAGGCCAGGGAGGGGCTGGCCAGCCCAGGGCAGCCACTGCAAAAACAAAACGGCTTCTGCTTTGAGAAAGGAAACAAAAACAGCAGGAGGTAATGGGAGGAGGGGTAGGAGGTGGGGGAGGCACGGGAGGAAGGGTGGAAGGGACCAGGGACCGGACCCCAGAGACACCAGGGCTGAGGCGGAGAGAAAGTCCCAGCCAGTGACGGGACAGAGGCTGGAGAAGCAGAAACAGCCAGAATCAGAGGGGTAATAACCGTGAAACGGGGTTCTGGGAAGAACTCAGAGCAAGCCAACAGGGTTGGAAGGGGACAGAATCGATATGGGATGAGCTGCCTCCAGCCTGGGGGTCCAGGGTCTGTGCCCACCGAGGTCCAGCTGTGATCTAGCCAGGGCCGGTTGGAGGACCCATCTCTGTGTGCACTGCACAGTGGTCAGCACAGGCTTTGGGAGCCCAAGCGGGGCCGGGGGGTGGGGGGCCCAGATAGTGACGCTGGTGGCAGCCAGGCCCGCAGAACCTGGGCAGCTGGGCCTGGCACAGATCTGTGTTTTGTGCTCACTGATGCACTTCTGCTGGTATCTCCAGTGGACAGATGGGAAACGGAGGTTCAGGGAGGCAGAGAGACCGGTCCTAAGCCTCACAACACAGAAGGGCCACAGGATTTGCCCCCAGACCGTGAGGTTTGCCGCCCCAGCTCTTGGACACCCACTCTGCCTGCACACAGCTGCCATCCTCAGCACCCACGGCTCCTCCGTGGTACTGGTGAAAGACCGCTCGCCAGTTGGGGGCTGGTCCCCTCTAGGCCATGTGGGATGGACAAGCGGCCGCAGCTATGTCAGGACGCTGCTTTGTCAAATACATTTATTGGGGCGAGGCCAGCAGGGAGCTTAACGTGGAGAAACCCACAGATGGTCTGCGGCAGGCCTGACCCCAAGAAGGGCCGACACTCTGGCAGAGGCAGGGACACCCATCGTTTCGTGGGCGATTGGAGGCCTTACCACTTGGGGAGAAACGGCTTCACGATCCCCAGGCCAGTGAGCAAAGGTTACAACAGGGGTCTCTGGTTAATGAGTCCCAGTGGGCTCATGTTGCAAGACTGGGCAGGGAGAAGTGAGGGCACAGGTACCCTGGCCCTGGGGCCTGGCGCTGCCCCATTCCATCCCCGTGACCTGGTTCTCCTGGGGACCCGCCTCCTGGGGTCAGGGACACCCCGCCTGGTGATCAGGCAAGGAAGGAGCACCCTCAGCAGCTCTTCTCAGGTGCAAAAGCAATGCTGCCCTTGGGGAGAAGCAGCTTGGATCCAAGACTCAGTCTCCACAGAGCTCAGCAGCCATCTGGACTGAGCCCCAGTCTGACCACGGTGTTCCTGGGTATCTTCACAGCAGCTCTGCCTCTGGAGCCATAGGAAGCCCCTGCCCCCTGTGGTCGCAGGCCCAGGGCAGGCCCCACTGGCTGGGGCGTGGGGGTCTCCTCACCAGGCCGCCTGCTTCACTGGCCCTGCCCTGGTGACCTCAAACCTTGGTGGCTTCCCCTGGCTAGCCACAGATTCCGGCGGCTGCCCTCTTCCTCCCCACTCATGGCCTCAGCTCAGCCCCACTGGCCTTCTTGCTGACCACGAAGCACGTGACCTGCACTTCCAGCTCAGGACCTTTGCACTAACTCCTCCTTCTGCTCGGGACCTTCCGCTCTAGGGTCCCTTCTCGTTCAGATCTCCACTCAAAAGTTCCCTCTGAAAAGAGCTCCCCAAAGTAGCCCTCCGCACCAAGACCCTTCCCCAGCTCTCCTTCAGATGCATGACACTTGTCACTGCTGAAAGGATCTGATTTGTGGGAGGCTGAGGGCTGGCTGCCCCCGAAAGGCCCACTCTGTCAGGAAGGGGACAGTCTTGTTTTCTTGTGGCTCCTGTACCTCATGTAGCTTCAATTAATATTAACTTAAAGAGCAGTGACCCCTCATGGCCATAGGGAGAGCAGCACCCCAACTCCTAGCTGGCCACTCAAGGACACTGGTGACTAGGACCTATGTCTCTAATGCCTTCTGGGTGCCACCTGCCACACCCTCGTGAGCCCTGGTCTGTGACCACACACACCCCTTAACCCTCCAGCCTATCACACTCCCTCCCACTTCTGCCTGTGCCTTTCCTGCTCCCCAAAATTCCCTTTCCTCATGTTCCCATCTGGCAAACTCCTATGCAGCCTTCACAGCCCCACCCAAAGGCCCTACCCTGCGGAATGGAAAGCATAAGGATTTGAGGTTTAGACTAGGATTTAAAAACTGGCTCCCCCACTTCCTAACTGGGTGACCTTGAGCAAATCATTTCCTTCTCCCTGACCTTGGTTTCTTGCTCTGCAAAACGAGATTACCTATCCCGACTCTGGTGAGCCATCCAGCTCGCCAGCTCACCATTTTTCAGGGTGCTCTGGTGGCCGGGATGTAACTCTGAGCTCTGGGCACTGAGTATCTGAGAATGAACAACAGCCTGTGAGCAGCTGTTGATTTAGCTCCCAGCAGTCACTGCCCCTTTCATTAACCCATCTGACTTCTTCTCAGAGCAAACCTGTTTCCGTCTGTTCAGTGCATGTGATGCCGATAGGCTGTCGGATGTCCGTTACTGCTGCAGCAGGCAGGTGACCAGGCCTGGCCATCAAAGCATCCCACGCCTATCTGCCTTAGGGCTGGCTCAGAGGTGGGCACCCTGTCGGGGCAATGGGCTGCATCCTCCAGGCTTTGCTGCACCTATTGGTACAGGAACTCTCCCTTTGGCTGGGGGAGCCGGGAGTGAAGTCGCCATAGAGAAAAACCAAACCTAGAGCTGGTGCCTGGAACCAGCCAGACCTGAAGGCAGCCACGTCTGCCTTCAGTCGCCAGGGTTGGAGGAGTCAGGCTGCTCAGAGCCTGGCATGGGGCCCCAGAGCAAGGATGATGGGCTGAGCCTGTGGGCTGGGCCCTGCATGGAGCCCAGGGCAGCCAGAGACAGTCTGCCTGCTCATGCCTCTCTGGGCCCCCATCACCCTTGACCTCTGCAACGTCCTGAGTGGCCTGCTTGGTCCCACCTCAGCCCTGAAAGTTGGCTCCTCAGGCCTCACTGAGCATATCTGCATTTATTCTGCAGAGGATCCAGATGCTGGTATTTTGTTCAAAACCCTGATGCCTACAGGGCTGCTGTGCTGTGGGGTGGCAGGGGCATGTGGTCATCATGGCCCCACAGCCTGGCTCCTCAGGTGGTGTGGTGCCAGAGGGGGATGGCGAGGGGGCCCCCCACCTGAGCTTCTGGGGTCCTTCCCCTTGGAGACCTTCCAGGAAGGATGATACAGAAGAGGTCTCCGTTAACTTCCTTCATCCTTGGGCCCCACCGGGAAGTGCTGGGCTCTAAGAGGCACAGTGGCCTGGAGGGAGAGGAGGGGATGGTTTGCCCTGGGAACAACCCCCTCCCATCCCCACCCAGTCTTCTCGAACCCCTACTCCAGCACCCGCTGCATGTGGACAGAGGCCCAGCCTGGCCCCAGAGCAGCTTGGCTTCTGGCAGGGAAGATGCCCACCCTCTGTGAACCCAGGAAGGGAGTGGGCAGAATGGGGAGCGGGATCTGGAGTCCCCCACCCTTGGGCCAGTGGGTAGCAACATGGAGCCCTTCCTGGTGGGCCCTGGGGGCAGAGGACACAGACTGGAGGCTTGGGTTTTCCACTTAAAGAATGTAAGAAGCTCTCGAGGGCTAAGAGATGACTTGGTTTCCTTCCCTGCTGTCTCCAGCCCTCCAGACGCCTGTGTGAGCACCGCATGGCCGCGAATCTGGCCCTGGGGGCCCACAGAAACCAGGTCCCACAGAGAGGGACACAGGCCAGCAAGGGGACAGGGACTCGGCAGGAAGGGGACCCAGGTGGCAGTGGGGGATGGGGTAACAGTGGAGTAGAAGGGGGGGCAGAGCACATGCCTCGGGCCTTGGTTTACCTGGTAGAGGAGGTGGTGGGACAGGTGTGTTCAGGTGGAGGGCACACGTTTCTCCCCAGACATAGAGAGAGACACCCACCTCCCCGGCCGTCACCCAGACATACCCGCTGTCTGCAGACACTCTGGGGGTATATCCCCCCAACACGCACTCTCGGTGGCCTCTCTCTCACCTGTACCGACGGCCGAGCCCTGGGGCCGGGACCCTCCTTGCCCTACCCTGTCCCACGTCCTGTGCACAGACGCACACTAAGGCCTGAGCATGCCCCCCCCAAGCCAGGGAGCACCCCACAATGACCAGTTCACACAGGATGGAGAGTGCCCCCGCTCCCTCGGGTGAGCTTGGGGAGACTCTGTCCAGACCTGAGGGGACAATATAAGTGAGGGTGGTGGGGAGCCCCCACCTGGGGAGCCCTGAGGAGATCCCAGCCACACCCTGGCCTCAGCCCAGGGGCAGTTGGGGAAGGAGACCCCTTTACCCCAGGACAACCAGGGCAACACAGGGACCCCTGGCAGGGACAGCAGTACCAGGAGGAGCAGGAGCCAGGCACCTTCTGTTTGCCAGCTTATTCCCTACACCTCTGGGGCCTGCACTTTATAGATGGACAGGAAACTGGCATGACCACTGGCCGCCACCAGCCTCCACCAGCTGGGCCTCCCTTGGGTAAGCACAGCCTGAGAAGTGCCGCTTCAGCCTCATCCCTCAGGCCACCCCCTGCCCACTAGCCAGTAGGCCGGTTACTCACACAGGTGGAACTCAGAGTCCAGGGTGGCGCAGCAGCGAGAGACCCCTCCCCCACCGTCACAGGACAAAGGTCAAACAGCCAGAGTTCAGGGCAGCAGGCCCAGGTTGACAGGCTGCGCCTCAGTGGCCATCCATGCCCTTCCCTCCTCGCCTGTGGCCTCAGTTTCCTCCTTGTGACACAGAGAAATGACAGCGGCTTCTCAGAGGGAAGGCTGCAAGCGCTCCTGGCACCCTGAAGCCTCGCGGTGGGCTACCTCAGTTTCCTCAGCCAGACCGCAGAGTGAAAGGAGCCCCCGACTCCTTCCCAGTAAGCCTCAGCTCAGAGCAGGGCAGGCACCCTGCACCCTGCAGGGAAGGGTCACTCCCACTCGGGTGCTGCTCCAGGGCGCTCCTGGTAGCTCAGGGGGTCGGGCACTGTAAGCGTAAGCGAGGCTGCCTTGCTGGGGTCCCCCTCTGACCTGGGGCTGCAGGCACAGGCTGCCTGGTGGGCACCCCTGAGGTGGGAGCGCAGGCACTTGAGCTGAGGCATCTTCCCCCACTCACCCCGTCCCCCAGCCAGGGAAGAGACAGCAGGTGTCCCCAACGCCACCCCCCAGAGGGGTCAGGCTGTGGGGTGCCCCGAAGGGGAAGGGGCGGACACTCACCGGGGAGCAGGGCGCGGAGCGCAGCGCCCAGGACCAGGAGCGCGGCGCCCAGACAGGCGGTGGCCGGCGCGGGCC